GCCGGACTTACACCGGCCGACGGACGTCTGGGGACATCTTGATCGGCGCCACTCTGGGGAAGACGTATCTGGGGACTCCGGGACACCGAAGGGCCTGGGGCTAACACCCCGGGCAACACGGCCGGGCGAGACGTCCGATGGCGACGTGCCTAGCAGAGAACACACCACACACGGCAAGGACCCCGTGGCCTACCAACCACGCGTTGCCACACGGCATGCGCAGGGCCTAGACGAAAAGGGGAGGGGGGGGGGCCGCACACAGGCGCGGCCGTACGGGCGCAAGACAGCCCGAGCCCCGACGTGGCAAGCTGTGGCGCAAAGCCACGTGGATTAGCACCCAAAAGGGGACAGGAAAGGCGGGACACAGCCCCACCTTGCGCGCCACGGAACGCCGTGCCACGTGGCAGCACGACCAGGCGCGTGCCCCGTAGCAGGCCCGGGCGGAGGGCTGGACCTGTCCACGAGTCGTCGCCGGGGGCGACGCTTGTCCGCTCAGGGGGACCCGACCCCTGGGGACATCCCAGGGAAGCCGGCAGACCGGCAACAGGGAACACCCGAGGGAAAACAGGAAAGACGCAGAAGCACGCCCTGCCGGCCAGGCACGTGACGCCCGGCAAGGCATGCATGGGCCCCAAGGCGGGGCCCGCCATAGGGCCGCCCACGCCTGGCCACGTGTCGCCGCCGCCGAGAACATGCGCCCCGGGCGTAGGACCGAACCTGGCCACAAACCGTCGCCGACGGCGACACATGTCCTCGGACAAGGCGAAGCCTAGCCCCCTGAGACACCCAGGGAAACCCGGCGGGCCGGCGCCAGGGAGCCCCGGAGGAAAGGCGGGAAGGACGCCGAAGCCCGCCCAGACGACCCCAAGGCCAATTAAAGGAGACGGCCCCTAGGCAGAGCACAAAGGGCGTAGGGCCCACCACGCCTGGCCACAAGGCGACGCCGGCAGGGGCACGCCTGGCCGCCGACGGGGCCCCGGGCAGGGCGCGCGCCTGGGCACGCCGCGCGGCGGGGCCCCTTGGACACGGACGGGCACGGCTGGACGGGGCCCCACATGAGAGGAGACCGAACGCAGGCCACTAGGGACGCGGCCCAGGGCACGCGACCAGCACGGCACGGGGGCGCCCGGCACAGGCCCAAGGAGGGCGCCCGGCACAGGCCCAAGGAGGGCGCCCCAGCTCTCCGGGAACAACAGCAGAGAGCCCGAAGGACTAACTAAGGCGGCACACACGTACCGCAAGGGGAATGCGCTTGGCACACGCCGCACTGGGGGGACCTGACTAGAGTTGAACAGAAAACCTCACCTTGGGTTTAGAAGTGTAGGGCAGGAGGAGCCTGCCGGAACAGTCTGGGGTGTCGAGGGCCCCAGGATGTCCGTGAGAGAGAGGCCAAGTACCGAGGCAGCTGGCGTGTTGTCCATCTCGTGCGAAGTCAGGCGGCCGGGGAGTGGTTGCGAGGGCAGCGGCGAGGGCGGGCGGAGTGAGGCAGAGCCCCATTGTGCGCCCGTATTTATACGGCCCCAAACTGCCCGCGCAATGCCGCGGGACGCGCTGCGCAATTGTTTCTTTCTCCCCCGCCAGAAAAATCCCCGCTTGTGAAGCAGTGACCATATATATTTACATGTTCTGCAGAATTTAATCTTCAATAAACTTTAAAGCCCCATACTGCCAGTATCTTTCTCCCCCTGATCAGAAATTAGATGGTTTTTGTTCAGTCTGTTATCAAGTATTCTCATCTACATTAATGACCTTCCAAATGCCTCCCAACACCTCAAACCAATTCTATTTGCTGACGACACAACCTTCATTTACTCCAGTCCTGACCCCCTTGCTCTAAATGCCACAGTAAATACTGAGCTAAATAAAGTCCATCTTTAGCTAACTGCCAACAAACTCACCCTTAACATTGACAAAACTTTCTATATTCTGTTTGGCAATAAATCCTCTAATCAAATAAATCTCAAAATAAACAATACCCAAATTTGTAACAAATTAGATGGCAAATTCCTTGGCATTCTCATTGACCACAAGCTGAATTTCCAGGGACACATTCTAAATATATCAAAAAAAGTTTCAAAAACTGTGGGCATTCTTTCTAAGATCAGATATTATGTACCACGCCCTGCCCTGGTGACTCTCTATTACTCCTTAATTATCTATCCATTTTCTGACCAGGGGGAGAAAGATACTGGCAGTATGGGGCGTTAAAGTTTATTGAAGATTAAATTCTGCAGAACATGTAAATATATAAAGTTCACATAAAGTAAGTAATTATATAAAGTTTATATTAAACACGGTTTATATTATAGACTTAACAAAGTTGATATTATATAAAACTTAATATTGAACATGTAAATATACAAAGTTTCAAATATAATTTAAGGAATATATAACGTTTATATTAAAATATATAAAGTAAATATATAAAGTAAGAATTAACAGTAACAATTCCAAGGACTAGATTTAACTTAAAAGGTACACCCGTAGTATGAGACCTTAGCCTATAGTGACATGGAAACTAATTCTGCAGAAACCTAAAGGTTAACTGGTACTAGAATTAAGGCCGAGTGCAAATGTGTAGTAATTATATAACACTAGGATATAACAGGCAGGACACAAAGAATAACTAATAAGTGAGAGACCACATAACACGTAATGTACCCGGCCAAGAGGCCGTAAAAGACCTAATGGATAAGGAGAAGGGGTGTGACTACAAGTAGGGCTTACTAGCACCTAGACTGGGCAAAGTATTAGCTGCGGACAGCGGGACACTTGGGGACCGGCGCTGCACCCCCCTTCCCACATGCAGTGGGGAGACAATCGGGACAACTGTGCAAAGCATGACGGGGGTACAAAAGCAGCCGCTTGCAAAAGGGGGGGAGGGTGGGGTTTTGCGAGGGCAGGCGGAGTGAGGCGGAGCCCCGTTGTGCGCCCGTATTTATACGGCCCCAAACTGCCCGCGCAACGCCGCGGGACGCGCTGCGCAATTGTTTCTTTCTCCCCCGCCAGAAACATCCCCGCTTGTGATGCAAGCAGTGACCATATCTCAACTATGGTATTTGTGCTTGGGGTTCTACTACCCAAAATCACTTACGTCCTCTAATTACTCAACACAAAGCTGCTATTAGGACAATATCCAACTCTGGTCCCAGGCATCACTCGGTACCCCTACTCAAATCTCTGAATATGTTAGACATTAAGTCACTGCACTGTCTCTCATGTGTATTATACATATATAAAACGCTAAACTATAATGCCAATCCTGATCTCAAAAGCTTCATAGAAGGATGTAACAGAACCCATGAGCACCACACCAGAAATAAATAACCGCTGCATTATGTAGGAATGCGGAGGAATTTCTGATGGAGGAGAAGACAGTTGCACAGCGCGATCCGCAGCGCGCGGAGCGCCGCGGGGGGCCTATATATAGCAGAGAGGAGGGGTCATGCGTTCTTTCTTGTTCCAGCCTCGCTCCGCTTCACAAGTCTTAGAAAAAAATTTTCTAAGTAATTTTTCTAGTAATTTACCATTTCACATTATGTCTGGGATTTGCCACATTATTTGTCATGTGTTAGGCCACTATATGCTACTCTTTAAGCCCCGATTCTACTTAAAAATTATGTTAAACGTTTGCCTTACTTGTACCAATAGTTAATAAGGATTCCGCGTTCTTCAGACCATGTTCTATTTAGTTACCGGATATAAGCATATATATTAATGTTATTAAGTCATTGTAGCCAAGTTATACATGTATTTATGCTGTTGTAAAATTATACAAGTTACCTGTTCATTAACATGGTCTGAAAAAATTTAATTATTTTGTTACTACTAAAAAATTAAATAAATAGGTCCCAATGCTGTCGGTGTCTTATTCCTCCGTTATCAGAAAATACAGTTTTGATATTCCTAGAGTACGACTTAATCAAACTAGAAATGCTCTACAAATCAAGGGGCCCAGAATGTGGAATGACCTTCCCAACCATGTTAAAGACTGTACCTCTCTCAACCAGTTTAAGTTAAAAACGAAGCTATACCTAATAAATTCCCTGTAACCTACCTTACCCTTCTATTGTCAACCAATGTCTGTTTTTTTTAAGAGCGCTGTTTGTTGGCATAATTGTATTTGTGCAGCTTTTTCATCTATGTTTTCATTTCTTGTTTTCATTCTACTCATTATGCTCAATTAGTATTAAGCTTGTCATTTAAGTTTATCATGCCCGAAACGCTTTGCGTAATAGTGGCTTTAGGCATTGTATGTACTAGCTATACCTATAAGTCAACCAATCTTTGTAAAAATTTATTGTATGTATGTACCTTACCTAAATAAAAATTATTATTATTATTATTATTATTATTATTATTATTATTATTATTATTAGATTTCTAAGGTTTGAGTTGAATTCAGACACATCAGTGTTAGGAATTCTATAGACTGCACCCACAGACAGGACAGACTCGGCACCCTTGACTCTGAAGCTGGCGAAGATATACTCCCCATAGCAGTCTCTAGTTCTAATTTCTTTTAAGCATGTTAGTTCTTGGTGGTAGTAAAGAGCAGTGCCACCACCTCTCTGAAGTTGACGACAGTTGTGAATTGCCGAGTAGTTAGGCATGTTAAAGAGTTGAGTGGTATCCTCTTTTAACCATGTATTCATATTCTTATATTAACTTATAATCAACTTCTGCTTGCCCGAAATGCTTTGCGTAATAGTGGCTTTAGGCATTGTATGTACTAGCTCTATCTATAAAGCCAACAAACTTTGTAAAATCTCTTTATGTATGTACCTTACCTAAATAAAAATTATTATATTATTATTATTATTATTCTATTGTCTCGTTTTGGGTATAATATTGTTTTGGAAGACGAGAACAGCAGCGGCGAACACAAGCCAGCGTATATTAATGTACGAAAGGGTTCGTGTTAAATTAACAGACTTTGTGAACGAACTGGTTTTTTGTGTACTGAACCGACTGTATCGGAAACAGTTGTATACGATTCGACCAGTGGCCGTAGTGGTGAGAGGGAAGCAAACAGTCTCATCATATCAACAACAATCATCAAACCGTTGCTGTTTAGTTTCTTTTTAAGTGAGTCGCTACAGGTGAGACGAGCAATTTCTTTGAATTATGATATAATGAAGAAAGGATCTATATATTTCTTTACATTATTATTTAAGGATAAAGCCAATAAAGATATAGCGGTCTCAGAAGTTTAGAGTTCACGCCTTCTAAAATGGCCGGGGTCCAAAATGAGTTTAAAGAGCATTCAACTACCGAAGTAGAAGTATAAAGGCTAAATAGGTTTACTACGCATACCCAGCTAATGATTTTAAGTTTTGTTTTGAGGGTTAATACAGTCATTTAGTGAGATTAGGTGTATTATGGCCAACTAGCGCCTGCAGGGCTTTCATAACATTTAAAGCTTTAGTTGCTTCTCAACCACAGTTTCATACATATTAATCATTAAATTTTCAGGGTGGAAGAATTTAACTTAGTTTATTTATTATGCACCCTATACCCATTTTGTAGGTGGCACCCATTTTACAGAGGCACATAATGAGTGCAGGAACTGAACCCCAAAATTAATTTCTACAATAATAATAATTACTAATTCATATTTACCTGTAAACTTACATTACACATATCACTGACCTTGATAACTAAAAAAATATTTTGTTTCACCTCGTCTAGAAGAAGTCTACATTAAATCCTTTGCACAGAATTGGGGGAGGGTCAGAAGTTTCTGCTGACTACTGAAAGCTGCTCCTGTATATATTGCACATTATGTGAAATTATTTCTCTTTATAAAACAGAAATGGGAAAAAAGAGGAAACTTGGAAAAGATCCAGAACCCTATCTTGTGCAGCTCGAGCTCCTCACAGCAGAACAGCTTTGTAACATTTTTGGTAAGCTATTTAGAGTTTCCTCAAAATTTTCTCAGTTAATTATTCAACTGTTGTATCTAGAATTATTTTAAGGTGTAATTATTACCGAAGTGTAGTTACAGGATGAGAACTATGCTCTTGGTGTCTCGTCTTCCCAGTACTCTTTCTCATATAACGCTTTGAAACTACAGTACTGATGATTTCGGGAAATTTTAATTGTTTGTTTACATGGTTTGGAAAGTTCTTTTAGTAGTTCTCGAGACTGCAGTCTTGTCTGAAGCCAGCAGGGGGTTTGTTTGGTTTTGCTGACTTTCTGGTTGCCTTTTCCAGTGGGTGGCATACATGACTAACTAAATACATAAATGTCATCCCACTGTCTCTGTGAGGGGGCCAGGTTCTGGCTCTGGTCTCCAGTAGGCCTATAGAATTCACTGACTTATGGGAACCTACACACTATCAGGGATAGTAGTTTCATGGAGCCACCAGGGCTCACCCAGAAATTTGCATTTTATTACTTTCACTGCTGGTTTTATTAGTCAGAATTCTTTTGTCATTGAATTCTCACTTTTACCTGAATTTACCGGTTGGGTCACTAACACTCGTGTGGTCTTGATGAAGACAAGAAGCTAGCAATCTGTCAAAGGTTCCCCCATTTGTGCTGATTTTTTCAAGCTGGATTTTAAAATTCAACTAAGTTTTGGCATTTACCACTTCAACGGGTAGGCAGTTCCATGGTATGAGAGTTCCTGGTATGTTCCTCTTGTACCAGGAACAATTCCTCAACTGGTCCTGCCATGAGATTTGACTTAGTTCTAGATTTTGTTGCCTGGTGTTGAACTTTCTCCAAAGCTGCTTTATTTTTCTGAAGATGAGATCTCCACACTGTACTTCGATACAATAATCCAAGAGGGAACACATCAGAAATTTATTCAGTAGAATAACTACTTTCTTTTCCTTAAAGTCAAAGGTATGCTTAATTATTCTTAGGGATTGGTTAGCTTTTTTTTTTTTTTTTTTTTTACAGCCACTCGCACGTGTTGTGCAACTTTTAGAGAATGATGTATTCTGACTCCAAGGTCCTTTTCTTCATCAATCTGCTGCACGGTAATGTTGTTAATTTGGTAGTTGTGTCGTAGATTATTATGTCCCAATGCAAGGTCTTGCATTTTTTTAATTAAAAAGCATTTGCCGGTCTTTGACCATTTGTGGAGTTTATGTAGATCTCTTTGTAAGGCATCAGTATCATTTTCACTTCCCAATTTACCATAAATCTTGGTTTCATCTACAAATTTGATGATATGGTTTGTAATTTATTTATTTATTTATTTATATACAAGAAGGTACATTGGGTTTGTGAGAATACATAGCATAGTACAGTATTTACACTCTTGTACAGCCACTAGTACGCGCAGCGTTTCGGGCAGGTCCTTAATCTAACAGATAATTTTAAGTAGGTAAATTCTATCAGAATTAATAAAATGATAACAAATACATTGCAAGAAAAAAAAATGAGATGAGAGAGATTAGTAAGTATATTAAAGCACATTTGTATATTAAAGCTCTGATTGATTACATTGACAGCTTGACTGGTAATTTAAACAAGATTAATAGACACCATACAGCAGATTGATAGCACATATAAGAAGACAGCAATGATCACAATGGTAAAGATGTTCAGATTGGGTACATAAAGATTGGGAGATTGGGTAGCAATAGATACAGTGCAATTTTAAAGCAAAAGGTAAAAAACTATGAAGATGAAATTAGGTACTTTTTAGTATTGTTTTTGAATGACGCAAAAGTTGGACAGCTTTTCAATTCAATAGGGAGTGAGTTCCATAGACTGGGTCCCTTTATTTGCATAGTGTTTACACAGATTAAGTTTGACTCTGGGGATATCAAAGAGATATTTATTTCTGGTGTGGTGATAATGGGTCCTATTACATCTGTCCAGGGAGAGTTTCAGAGCAGGATTTGCATTTAAGAACAGGGTTTTGTAAATGTAGTTGACACAAGAGAATTTGTGGAGTGAGATTATGTTTAGCATGTTTAGGGAGTTAAACAAGGGGGCTGAGTGTTGTCTGAAAGCAGAATTTGTTAGTATTCTGATAGCAGATTTTTGCTGGGTGATGATGGACTTGAGGTGGTTTGTAGTGGTTGAACCCCATGCACAGATACCATAATTAAGATAGGGATAGATTAGTGCATAATATAGAGAGATGAGAGCAGAGTTAGGTACATAATATCTGATTTTGGAGAGTATACCAACTGTTTTAGAGACTTTCTTAGTTATGTGTTGTATGTGGGTGCTGAAGTTGAGTCTCTTGTCTAGGAATAGGCCAAGAAACTTTCCATCATTTTTATTGCTAATGTTTACATTGTCTATCTGAAATATTGTAATATTCTCATTATGTCATTAATGTATATGACAAAAAGAGTTGGCCCCTAAATGGACCCTTGCAGTACCCAACTCACCCATTTCTCCTGTCAGATTTATTGCCGTTAAATCATTGTTTTATCCAAGTGTTCTGCTATTTATTCCATATGCCTGTAATTTCCTTGCTTTTTGATAATGTGGTACATTATCAAAAGCTTTAGCAAAGTTCATGTATATTACATCCTCCAGAAGTCCTTTGTGTGAATAGCTGGTTACTGTTTCCAAAAATGTGAGCAAGTTTGGATTGCAAGATCTATTTTTAACAAATCCATGTTGCATTGATTTTACAAGATTGTTGACTGTGAGATGGTGGATGATTTCTTCCCTTAGGGGAGCCGGTCGGCCTATGGGAGGGAGCCGGTCGGCCGAGAGAACAGTACACTGGACTTTTTATTTATTGGATTAGATTAGATTTTATTGGATTAGGGCATGGCTATTCCAAAGGAAACAGAGAGTTAGTATAAATGGGGTTAAGTCAGAGTGGGATAATGTTGTTAGTGGAGTACCTCAGGGCTCTGTCCTGGGACCTCTGTTGTTTATAATATATATAAACGATTTAGATTCAGGTTTGAGTAGCAACATTTGCAAATTTGCCGATGATACGAAAATCGGTAGGGAAATTAATTCGGAGGAGGACTCACTATCACTTCAAGTTGATCTAGATAGGGTTTTGAAATGGTCAAAGGATTGGCAAATGCAGTTTAATGCTGATAAATGTAAAGTTCTGAAGCTAGGTAATGATGATAGAGTTACAAGATACGAGCTAGATGGTGTTGAGATTGCGAAGTCGGATTGTGAAAGGGATCTGGGAGTTATGATTAGTAAGAATTTAAAACAAAAGGATCAATGCATGAATGTTCGTAATAAGGCGAATAGGACACTGGGATTTATTAATCGAAGCGTTAGTAACAAGACACCTGGTGTGGTTCTTAAGCTATATCTTGCTCTGGTTAGGCCCCATTTAGATTATGCAGTTCAGTTTTGGTTGCCGTATTATAGAATGGATATAAATTCACTTGAACGTGTCCAACGTAGGATGACAAAGTTAATTTCCCAAATTAGAAATCTTTCATATGAAGAAAGATTAACAAAACTTAAGTTGCATTCACTGGAAAGGCGAAGAGTTAGGGGTGACATGATAGAGGTTTACAAGTGGATGAATGGACATAACAGGAGGGATATTAATAGTGTATTAAAAATATCAACACAAGACAGAACACGAAACAATGGGTATAAATTGGATAAGTTTAGATTTAGGAAAGACTTGGGTAAATACTGGTTCAGTAACAGGGTTGTTGATTTGTGGAACCAATTACCGCATAACATGGTGGAGGTGGGGTCCCTCGATTGTTTCAGGCGCGGGTTGGACAAGTATATGAGTGGGATTGGGTGGTTATAGATAGCTGCCTCGTATGGGCCAATAGGCCTTCTGCAGTTACCTTTGTTCTTATGTTCTTACTTGTGATCCTGTGGTCCCGGGTTCGATCCCGGGCGCCGGCGAGAAACAATGGGCAGAGTTTCTTTCACCCTATGCCTCTGTTACCTAGCAGTAAAATAGGTACCTGGGTGTTAGTCAGCTGTCACGGGCTGCTTCCTGGGGGTGGAGGCCTGGTCGAGGACCGGGCCGCAGGGACACTAAAGCCCCGAAATCATCTCAAGATAACCTCAAGATAGGATTCTCTACTTGAACTTGCAGAAGTGAGATGTCAAGCTGATCAGATGGTAGTTTTTCTGGTGAACACACTCTGCCTTTTTTTATAATATGGGTGACATTTACATATTTCCTATTTAAGGGAACTATCCCTTGGTCCAACATTTTCCTGAATCGAAGTTTCAATGGTAGGCACAGTTCCTCTGCCAATTCCCTTATGACACTGGATTGAATTCTGTCCACACTTAGGGCGTTTGAGTCTTTTAGTTTGTCATAGCTCTTCCTGATTAAGTCGCACATTATGGGTATATCCCTTTGTTCTCTTCCCTTCCTTCATAAATTTGTGTGGGTGATGGGATGTTGTTTAATCTTTCTAATGTGAACAATGATGTAAAGTATTCATTCAGAGTATTTGCTGCCCTTTTATTGTCCTTTGTAACTTAGTCTCTTGTATATGGCTTTCAGATTTATATTGCCTTGATATTTAGCTTTAAAATTTAAGCATGGCTACTGAAACCTTATGGAAAAAAGTAAAAAATAATGAAATTTTGTTTTTCTTTGTTAAAACTCAGATTTTACAGATATTACTGCATAGTTTTTGTATCATTGGAAATAACAAAGTTCTACTATTATGATAATCTAAATTTTAAATTTACTTCCAAATAAAAAAAATCATGATTTTTTTCCCCAAAATATATCTCATTTACAAAAATATTTTTCAAAATATGCCCCTTCAGAATTGTTAAGCCTGCTGAGATGTGTATTCTATTCCAAATTTTGTCAAAATCCATTTACAACCTTAGAATCTAGGAATAAAAAAAAAAGGAATTTGAATTGAGTTTTGAATTTTCCTCCAAAAAAGTGCAAAGTCAAAACTTAACAATATCTGTTTTAAGTAATTACCCAAGTGTATACCTTAGTATATAATTCACTTTGTATATACTTCCCTATGACTTGTATATAATTAATCTAATTATGTTTCAAGTTTATTAGTAGAAAAAAGGAAAAAAATAATGGTTGATAACTTGTGATTACTGTATTGCTAGATATTAATTGGATAATTAATATGACTTGAAAACAAATATACTTTGAGTTGACTGATTTCTCTCAAATAAAGCTCAAAATATAGCTAATAATCTATGCTATTAAAGCCAATAAAAGTATTGAAAAAACAGCCAAATAAAATTATTCAGGGGCCCTTAATACAGTTGAATCCTGCTGTGTACCCAGCCATGTTGGTATTACTTTGAATTAACTTACAAAATATTGATGCTAAAAAGACCAATCAGGCCTGTCCCATTTTCTGTAAAGGGATTTCTTCTTGTGATTTCTACCTGGTCATTTATTTCACAATCTGCAACCATTGGCAAGGTTGATGATCTGGCATTATGGGTAACAAACTGTGCATTCTTAAAGGTGGCCTATCTCCATTGCCTTCCTCCTGTCATCATAATAAGTGGTGGGGAAATGGCTCTGACTGAGCTGTATATTGACCACACATTTAACTCGTGGGAAAGGGAAAGACTCCCTACTCCTTATTCCCGACTCCTTATTGTCTGAACTGCATTGTCTCACTTATAGTTGTTCACCTTCTTGTTGAATGACCTGATTTTCAGGATTATTGAGAATCTTTCTTACTAAATGTCCCTATGGGTCGCTTTTCAGTAGATAACTTCCTTAGTGAATCATATACCTTTGACATTGCCCAACTTATAAACTTTTTGCTCTCATATTGGTATCCTAAGTACTATTTATCACCTTTTGAATATCTTGTGACTCAGACTGAGCTACTTAGTCGTCTTTAGATAATTACTGTACTTGTATCTACATTATGATCCATTGTCATGTCACCCACAGGTAGACACACATCGTATTCCAAGGACAGCCCACTTCCCATGTTAAGATTCACCCAATCTACCTTTCCCAAGAAGCCCCATAATCCTTCAATTCTGTGACTAATGTATAATTTAGTTTAATTTAACAAAAACAATTTCAAAGTTTTCATACATAAAATTTCATTATCTATTAAAGATTTACTTTCCTCAGACAGTAAAGATGAAGCTGTATCCAGAGCCATTGTGCCCCTTGTAACTTCACCCAATGCTGGCCATGTGTTTTTGGTTGAATGTGCAGGTAAGTGATGACTTAGTAAAAAATCTATGTATTTTTTACACTAGTCCACATCTCTGACATTGAGTACTGAGCTATATTTTCTCCAGATATTTTAGTTATTTTTAATTTTAACATATGGCAAACTTATCAGCACTACAAACAAGCAGGAAACAATTACATGGCAGTGAGGAGAGAGGCAGAAAGAAACTTTGAGAAAAGGGGGGTAGCAGGCACATATAAAACATAACCAGTACTTTTCTATAAATTTATTAAAATCAAGCTGCATGTAAAGAATAAAGTCCAGAGATTGAAAATGGGGAACAGATTCACAGAGAATGAACAGGCAATGTGCAAAACATTAAATGAACAGTTCTAAAGTGTGTGTGCAGTATTAGGTTTTCAAAGAACCAGATGATGCCATTTCCAGAGACCACCATAGAGCACATGAAGGTGTCTCGAGGTAAAGTGGAAAAATTGATTAAGAAGCTAGAAAAAATAAAGCAGTTGGACCAGATGGAGTTTCACCTTGAGCTCTGAGAGAATGTGCATCTGACCTGAGCATTACACTTTAATTACTATTTCAGACAACTTATGTACAAGAATCTTAACATATATGAAAAAGGCAAATATAGTTCAATCTACAAAAATGGTAGCAGAGAAGACCCTCTAAATTATAGACCTGTAACATTGACAAGTGTGGTCGTCAAAACACTGCAAAAAATAGTTAAATTGAAATGGGTAGTATACCTAGAGAGAAATGATATAATTACAGACAGACAGTATAATAATAATAAATAATAATAAATTTTTATTCAGGAAAAATACATACATAGTTGATTTACAAAGATAAAGTTGGATTTATAGATAGAGCTAATACATACAATACCTAAAGCCACTAGTACGCATAGCATTTCAGGCAAGGTGTGGGGGGAAAAACTCACTTGGACTAAAGCTTAATAGTAATTGGGAATAGGTATAAATTATGTTGAAAAAATGAATAAAAAAAAAAATAAAGGGGGAACATGCTAGAAATCAGCAATTGTATAAGTTGGTGAACAAACAGCATTGTTTAACAAAAGCAAGACATGGGTTGACATTTAGGGGTAAGGTAGGTTACATGGAGTTAATTAAGTAGTAGCACATGGTTTTACTCTTAAACTGGTTGAGAGAGGTAAAGCCTTTGACATGATTGGGGAGACCATTCCACATTCTGGGTCCCTTGATTTGTAGAGCATTTTTAGTTTGGTTAAGTCGCACTCTTGGAATATCAAATAGGTATTTTCTGGGGGGAGCCCCGTCGGTTCCCCAGAGCTTTACCAGGCTGATATGCTAATGTCAGACTTTGGCATCAGTCATGTGTATGGAATTCTAGGGCCTACTGGGGACCAAGGCCAGAACCTGCCCCCTCAGAGAGGCAAGGGGAGCAATGGCCTATAGAAACCCCCGTGTGCTTGGAAGCATTCTATGTCTGCCATCGACCGGGTCAAGCATCGAGAAAGGTAAGCATTACAAAACAAACCCCTATTCTGGTTAAAATTGCTACCAAAAGCCGAACTAGTGGATAGAACTCCTCAACAGAAAACAAGCAACTAGTATGACGTCATACGTCACCGCGCCGCTGTCTGCGCAGCTCCCCCCTCCCCGGGAGGGGGAAGGGGGAGCCCCAGACCTCCCACGCCGGCTATCCACCCATCAGTTCTTCGGCTGATGCTATAGGCACTGGTTGTGTGCTCCGGCTCCAGTAGTTGTTTCAGCACTGTACCTGGAGTGTGGTGTCTGTCTTCTAGGTGGTGCGTGAGCCAGGAGTGAGTCTCCAGTACTCGGGCTGCATGCGCCTAGGGTTCCCTTCCCTAGGTGCCCTGTAAGTACTGCCCTTGGGGCTTGGGGCCACCTTCCACAAGTTCCTTGGGTTCTGCCCCTGCTAGGCCGTTTACTGCTTGGTTTTCGGCCGCTCTTTGTGCACTCGGGTGGTCTGTCTCCCTTGTTCGCCTTAGGGTACGGGGCAGTTTTGCACTGATGGGGTGCAGGGTACTGTGCAGCTTGTTTCCACCAATCATGGCGGCCGGCTCTGTTCCGCTTGGGTACACTGTCCTCTTGCAGGGTTTTCTTTTTCTTTTTCTTTTTTCTACCTGGTGGGGGTCTGCCTTCGTTCTTCCCTCTTGTGTCCCTTGTGTCCTGAGTATTTTTCTGGTGGTTCCTCCTGCTAGGTCCCCGTGAGTGTACAAGTCCCGGGGGTTCAGCTCTTAGAAAGTTGTTTGGTAGCTTTGGGCACCGGTTAGCAGTACCCTGCCTGGGATTACCTGAGCGTGAGTCCTATTACTGTATAGTAAATGCTCGGGACCCTGGGAAACCCCTGGGGGCGCGCGGGTCCGATGGATGTGCCTTTGTGGTCCCCGTTTGCTGTTCTAGGTGTTGCATGGATTTTCGGTTGGTGGTACTCCCCACTTGGCCCCTGTGAGTGGTCACGTCTCATGGGTTCGGCTTTTAGAAGTTTGTTTGGTAAAATTGGGTGCCGGTTTGCAGTACAGTACAACCTCGATTCAACGTACTGTATGGGACCAACCCCAGTGCGTTGGAGCATTGGATTCGTTGCAAGAGGTGACCTTCAGGAGTCGTTTGTATCAGTGTCTTTTTTTTTTCTTGTACACAATAAAAATGCATTATTATATTACATACTGTACCTATATATTACTACTCTGCTAAAAAGTACTGTAATTCATTTATTTACATTATTGTTGGAGATAGTATGTCCATCTTGAAGTTTCGTGAAGTTGTGAATGCTGTACAGTAAATACGTACTGCAGTGCATTATGCCGTTAGCACTGTGTTGATTAAAAGTAGTTCTGCTGTATGTTGAGTACTACAATACAGCTTATGAAAACTATTGTACACTAAAATTACTGCATCTTTAATTTTAACACTATGTACACACTTAAATTTAACACTTGTTCTAAATGTTCACTTAACACACAATGTTTTTAGATGTTTGCATCAGCTTTGCTGGTGCTCGCTGCTGCTGTGTTGGCTTCAGCTGCTTCTGTGCTGGTGCTGGGTACGGCTGTGCTGGTGCTGGGTACGGCTGTGCTGGTGCTGGGTACGGCTGTGCTGGTGCTGGGTACGGCTGTGCTGGTGCTGGGTACGGCTGTGCTGGTGCTGGGTACGGCTGTGCTGGTGCTGGGTACGGCTGTGCTGGTGCTGGGTACGGCTGTGCTGGTGCTGGGTACGGCTGTGCTGGTGCTGGGTTCGGCTGTGCTGGTGCTGGGTACGGCTGTGCTGGTGCTGGGTACGGCTGTGCTGGTGCTGGGTACGGCTGTGCTGGTGCTGGGTACAACTGTGCTGGTGCTGGGTACGGCTGTGCTGGTGCTGGGTACGGCTGTGCTGGTGCTGGGTACGGCTGTGCTGGTGCTGGGTACGGCTGTGCTGGTGCTGGGTACGGCTGTGCTGGTGCTGGGTACGGCTGTGCTGGTGCTGGGTACGGCTGTGCTGGTGCTGGGTACGGCTGTGCTGGTGCTGGGTACGGCTGTGCTGGTGCTGGGTACGGCTGTGCTGGTGCTGGGTACGGCTGTGCTGGTGCTGGGTACGGCTGTGCTGGTGCTGGGTACGGCTGTGCTGGTGCTGGGTACGGCTGTGCTGGTGCTGGGTACAACTGTGCTGGTGCTGGGTACGGCTGTGCTGGTGCTGGGTACGGCTGTGCTGGTGCTGGGTACGGCTGTGCTGGTGCTGGGTACGGCTGTGCTGGTGCTGGGTACGGCTGTGCTGGTGCTGGGTACGGCTGTGCTGGTGCTGGGTACGGCTGTGCTGGTGCTGGGTACGGCTGTGCTGGTTGATTTGCTGTTAGTTCGTGAAAAATATTGACTCATTTTCATTTGTTTCCTTCATTTTGTCATGTCCTTGAGACAAATATCTTTCATCGTCCTTAGGTGTTGATAAAAGCCTGGTAGCTCTGGATTGTCAGTTTGTGAAACAATATCAAGATGTTTTTCAACATAGAACAATGCATCAGCACACACAGCAGATTGTAAACTGCTATCATTCTCATCCTCATCTTCCTCTCCGTCATCGTCAACAGTGCCAGTAACATTTTGTATAATCTCATCATCTGTTAAATGACCAATGGGTGGATCGACTGCATCAATATCTAACCACTCCTCCACATCGTTCAGCGTCAACTCCACCTCACCACCGGCACGCAGTTCTTGATAAATATCATTTGAAAATCCTTCAAAATCCATTTCTTCCTCTGTCACTTCATCAGCATGATCAAGCAACAGGAGTTTTTTCCAACAATTTCTTAATGTTGACTCTTGAACTTCATCCCAAACTTTAGCCCAGTTGTAAATGGCTTCCTTAACCCTTTAACTGTGCAATGCGCCTGCAGGCCCACGTCTGGGGTGCGCTACACGCCTCCAGGTATTTGTATTTTTCACGTTCCATTCAAAACTCCTGCAGCTACATGGGGTTCACATCAGCTTCCTCAGGGCTCTTGTAAACAGATGCCATCTTTAAAAAAAATCATGGTTCACATTCCCAGGTGTGAGAGCCTCAGTAGTGAGCAACCAAGGCTGGCGCTCGCAGCATGAGCGCACAGCACTGCTGTTCAGCGTGTGACCACAGCATCGCCTAATAATGTCAAAATATATATATAACCTATATTATTTAGCCATGATAGTATTATAGAAGATCCTGGGTGTGATAATGACTGGGTACAATGTTCAAATATCAGTGATTCAATGCTGTTCACGATGTTTACAGCGCTAGCCACAGCACCACAGCATTATTTCGTCCATCTAGGAATCTTCAAACAACTTCTCAGGTTCCTTTTCAAAATAAACTTGTGGTCAATTATTCATTTACAGGAATTAGTGACCAGGATTGTGGTTATAATTAGCATTGTGCGTAGTATTGTGGAAGGAGGAATTTTGGTGAGGAAGGGAGAGAATTGAGGTAGCCTCACTGTGTGGCAGCCACTGTTGTTTTGCTCACCATACTAGCTTCGTGGTTTGCTATGGGGAACACACATG